TTTGTATGTGTACTAAAGCAGCATCCCTTGGGTAAGCGCACAAATGCCGTTACCAACTGAATTCCAATGTATGTAGTGTAATTCAGGAGGTATGTAGCAGTGCCGCGCTGTTTAAACCAGAGAAAGAGACTGCCCTAGCCCAAGAGGACTTCTCGCTGCTGAAACAAAACAAAAAACCAGAATTCTTTCAATTCCCTTGATGGTTTAGGATGTTATTGTATTTTGAAACTACTTGAAATTTTGATTAAGTCCTGCGTTTAAATATTTAACTTTTAATTAAACGCGACTACGAAAGTATATTGCCGAAGTGGTTGATTTTAAATCATCAGCAGCGTACATTGAAAGCGTACACCATAATGGTGGTGAGCAAGCCGGCTCGTGCTAAGACATCAAAAAAGGCCACACTACAAAATAAACACACTGCTTTCATTGCACACATAAAAAAAGTAAATTATTTATTTATATATTGAAAGGGCTTTATGAAATTTTCGATTTATGAAGCATTGATAAAATATATATGAATTTTTTGTCTTATCGATTTAACTGAATCAAAATTTTATATAGGTGGCAACCCGCTTCAAAAATATTTTCGACAGTAAACTTTCTTGAACATCTTTAGTTTCATTTTATCAATTAAATTGAATACAATTTTTCAAACAGGCGGCAACTCTCAAAAATATTTTCAGCGGTAAACTTTGCCAAAACTTTTTTACCTGATACCCATATTGCAATATTTAATTTGTCTTATCAATTAAATTAAATTACAATTTTCAAACAGGTGCCAACCTTCCACCAAAATTTTCTCGGCCGCAAGTCTTATTAAATCTCTTTCTTTTTAACCGACTTTTTTATTTTTTATATATGTTACCGCATAACTTTCCTCCACGTCAACCGATTTCGAAAATTCTTTTTGCATCGGAAAGATAGTGTCCATACTAATCTGGTTAAGATCCGATCAGTGGATCATGACATATATATCTATATATACATTTTTTTTATATGAGAGTTGAGGTCGGTTTTTTTTGCTAAAAATTACTTGTTACTTTATCTTATCAATTTACTTAAACTGAAATTTACAAATAGGTGGCAACTGTCTAATTT